TGTTCTCCTCAGCATGCCTCTGCAGATGTGGAGAAGATGATCCTGGGGAATAAGTGTGACGTGAATGACAAGAGACAGGTGTCCAAGGAGCGGGGAGAAAAGGTGGGTGCCAGAGCCAGTCCCACCCCAGGGGGACCCACGTGCCTCTTCATAGTCTTTTGAGCAGAGGATGACATGCCATCCTGGCTTGCTTGGGATGGAGGAGAGAGCCTTGTGAGGTGATAATCCCGGGCAGGGCTGGAGGACAGAGGCTGTTCATGGCTAGCAATGAGAACTTGGCAGTGAGCTTCAATCATGTCACCAGAACCCACCAAGGCCAGGCAGGAACAGCTGGTGCAGGCTACCTCTACCTTCCTCTCCTTAGCTCCTTCCCCACTTGGTACAGTACCATCACACAATGAAGGTGACACCCTTAGCCTGTCCTGGCCTATCACTACTTGAGCTTTGTGCCAACCCCACCCCAGCATCCATTCCTTAGGGAACACTGGGAGTTCACTGTGTTCATGTGTCCCTTTTACAGCTGGCACTCGACTATGGGATCAAGTTCATGGAGACCAGTGCAAAGGCCAACATCAATGTGGAGAATGTGAGTCCCAGGCTCCAGGGAGACACAGGCTTGTGGGATCAATGCTCAGGGGCTCTGGGGGCCTTTCTTTGGGAGATTCAGCTTGGAAGATCCAGTGGGGCTGACCTCTGGCGAGGGACCCCAGTCCAGGGCTGCTGATGGAGCCTCTGCAGCGCCCTCTGTTGGGCACTCAGGACACATGTCACTGGCTCTCAGCAGATGACCGGAACTTCAGCTCATATTCCAGCCGACCCAGTACATAGGCCCAGCTGCGTTCATCTCAGCCACACTGCTAATTCACAGCCCCAGTAGGGAGCCAGGTCCCAGAGCTGTGCCCTGATCCTCATGCCGTCTCTAAGGCAGTGCCAGCTTGGCCCCTGCCCCTCAACCTCTCCCACACAGCCTAATGACACTCAAAAACAGACCTGCAGAGCTACCTGTAATCAGCTCTCAGGAGGCTGAGACAGGAGGATTGCTGGGGCCAGCCTGGGCTACACAGCAAGACCATATCAGGAAACAAACAAAAAACTAAATCTACATCACCCCACAAGGTACCCAGAGGACAGTGGCCAAGGCCCTTGCCCACCTTGCTGGCCTTCCCCCCACTCCTCCCATAAACCACCCGGGTGGGCCCACCCTTCCCAGCCTTTGCTGCCTTCCCTTCCCTTTCCATGGCATCAGATTCTCCTTTCCCTGGCCAGGCCCACCACCCAAGGGCAACACCTCCACGCCCTCTTCCCTGGCACTACTTCCCAGGTCAGCAACCCTGCACGGAGATAGGAAATCCAGTCTGCCTCTGCATGTTCTCTCCATGAGGCAGTGGGCAAGCAGACTGGCATTTGTAGGTGTTTTTCAAGAGAGAGGAAGGGCCAGGCTTGCTGGTGACACCTGTGTATCACTCAGGTGACTTAGGTGACATCTGTCAACCTGGTACTTTGGAAGTAGAGGCTGGAGAAACAGGAGTTTGAGGCCAACCTAGGCCAGGAGAGAACTTCTCTAAAATAAAAGGGTAGGGGATTAGCATGGGCAGACACAGCCAGGGATAGCTACTTCAGGTCCTCCAGGTCCTCCAGGTCCTCCAGGTCCTCCAGGTCCTCCAGAACCAGTTAACTACTCGGGACCTTTGACTACTCCATGTCAAGGACCAACTGAGTATAATGCCCACTCACACTCACAGGATTGTTGGTCTAGGGGAGGTGGCCACACAGCAGGCCTCTGTCCCCAAGGTGCTTACAGAGGGTGACAGATGGGGGCCTAATTGGGAACAGGAGAAAGTGCTAGCTGGAACCTCTTGCTCACCTCCAGCCAACTGCACTCCACCACTAGAGGGCTCTGACAGCCTGCTCTTTCCACAGGCATTTTTCACTCTCGCCAGGGATATCAAAGCAAAAATGGACAAAAAATTGGTGAGTCCGGGTGCTTCCTAGGTCTCCACGTGGGGTTCTGTAGGATGCAGCCATCCTTGACCAGGGCAGTACATCACTGCCCAGGTCTACCATCCTCCCGTGTGTGTGTGTGTGTGTATGTGTGTGTGTGTGTGTGTGTGTGTGTGTGTTTATCAAGTATCGTCTTCCTTCGATTCCGACCTTAGATTTTGAGACAGGGTCTCACTGAACGTTGAGCCGTCTGGTTAGGTTGGGATTCTAGACGGCCTCAGGACCCTCCTGTCTCCCCAGCCCTGACACTGGGATTATAAGCACACCACTCTGACTTGTTTTGTTGTTGTTTCATGATTTTATTTTACTGTTTTTGTATGTGTTTGGTGTTCTGCCTGCCTGAACATCCGCACACCATGTGCATGCTTAGTGCCCTTGGAGACCAGAAGAGGGCATGAGCTCTCCTGGATCTGAAGTTACAGGCAGCTGTAAGCTGTACCACAGGGGTGCTGGGAACCAAACCCAGGTCCTCTGCAAAAGCAGCCGGTGGTCTTACCTGCTGAGCTGTCTCTCCAGCCCTGACTCCTGGCTTTTTATGTGGGTGCTAGAGGTCAAACTCTTGCTGAGCAAAGAGAGCAAGGCTCTCCTGCCTGAGCTGAGTATGTCACTGAACGCTGGGACATGGGGGACACGATGTGACCCTGCTTCCTGAGACCCACCAGTGTGGTTAGAGAGCAGAGAGTGCTGGGCCTGAGGCCCTTTAAAGTCTGATCACCTGACAGCCCGTGTGAAGTACAGCCCGCCCTGCAGTCTCCTACAGCGTTCATCCTGGGCTGTGTGAGTGGCCGCTGAGGCTCAAGGTATCTCCGCGGCATCTCCTCGATGCTTACATCTAAACAGCAGCAATCCCTGTAAACCAGTATACCAGACAGGTGCAGCATACAGCTCCTGTGGCTTTGTTTGCCTGCTGTTTGTATGTTTCGTATGTTTGTTTTTACTTCAACATAGCGTGGTCAGAATTGGAGTCCTGGGTGGACAGATAACTCAGTGTATAAAGATACCCAGAACCCACACTGTGGAAAGAAAGAACTGACTCCTCCAGGTTGTTCTCCTACCTGCACGTGCACATTTGTGTGTGTAAGAGCACACATGCATGCACAAATAAATAAATGTATTTTTTAAGAGCTTTCTTTATAAGAGGAAGATTAGAGTTTAGGTCCTATGTCTCTGGCAGCCCATGGACCTGGGCACCACTGGGGCACAGGGGGCAGAAAACTCTGAGCCCATATCTCCCAGGCCCTAAGGGACACTGTTTCCCTCGGTCGCCTCCATGATAGACAGAGGGATGGTTAGCATAGATAGATGGGTAGACAGATGGAAGGGGGCAGGGATGAACAAAGGGCAGAGGAAAGAACAAGATGGTTTGTACGGCTGGGGGATGTGGCTCAGTGGATGAGCCACTTGGAAGGACCAGTATCCAGTAGGTCCTCAGTTCAATACCCAGAGGGAACAAGGAACAAAAAAGTGTGGAGAGAGGTGTGTGGGTGTTTGTGCAGTGGGGGAAGAAAGGGTGAAGGCCTGGGGATCCTGGAAAGCAGATGAAGACGGGTCTTGAGTTTATGGAAGGTGAATGAACTGTCAGGAGATAGTGGGATGGTTGGAAGAGGGTGGGTGACTGCAAGAGTTTGCGTGGCCGACAGTCCACAGTAAGTAACAAGGCACACTTGTGACTTCAGGAAGGGAACAGCCCGCAGGGAAGCAACCATGGGGTCAAGATCACAGTGGAGCAGCAGAAGAGGACCAGCTTCTTCCGGTGCAGCCTCCTGTGAGGACAAGGTCGCCACCCGCCGCCGCCCCCGCCCATTCTGAGCCTGGCTCAGCCCCCGCTGACTGTGCCTGTCCCGGGCGAGCCCCCACCTCCCTCCGCTGCTCGGATATGGCCGCCCGGACACAATTGAGAAAATGATTATTTTAGTCTGATCTTTTCCACCTTCAGAGATGGAACGAGTTAGAATTTTGCTGTTTTTCCTGTGTCATCCGCCAGTCAGGCCTATCCATCCCTTGTGTATTGCCACAGATGGAGAGAGGTTGGGTGGGGGCGTGGCAGCCTCCATCTCCAGCCTCTGTCCCTGTCCCTCCACCACAGAAGTGAGGCCAGCGGTGGTGCCTAGCCTGCCTGGCCCTGTACCCTGAGCACCGCCACAAGGGCCACTGCAGGCCAAGCCTGACACCTGCCTTCACCTGTTCTCAGTTTTGGACAAGTGACAAAGAACCATGTCCCTGTCTTCTTACGTGTCAAACCAAAGGGAAGCACAAACTAAGGAAAATCCATGCAGAGGATTTTGGAAGAAGTGGACGGCTCTCGTGGCCACAGCAGGATTGGAGTCTGTGGTCCAGCACTGAGGGGACACACACAGTACCCACAGCAGGTGACCCCAGCATCACCACTCACCCACGACCACTGTCACTGGGCCACCTGCCTCAATGGCACCAAAACCGCCTCCCTGCTCTTCTCATCCTCTGGCTGGCTCCAATGGGACGTTCCTTTTCTAGCTGAGATGATTTTTTATTTTTCCAGATTCCTAACACCATGAAATGATTCCGCCTTTGATTTTCTAGCAGCATACCCAGGCGATCAGGAACCAGCGTGACTGCCCTGGCCCCACAGGGCACCTGGTCCCTGAGACCCAGACAGGCATTCCATGGCACAGTGCCACCCTGCAGTCTGGTGGGTTGTCGCTGTCTTTACCCAGTTGTGTTTTGACAGCTCTGTCCTCCCAGAGAGACTGGTTGGGACCAGATGTCCTGGCGGGAGGGGTGTTGCCTGGGAGCCCCTTCCTTTTCACTCTAACCCTTCCCCAAGCTGCTGTCAGTCCAAGCTGTCAGCACCAGAATCTCCCTTTTTTTGGAATTAAAACCAACGTACCAGCAATAGTCGCCCTCCCCTGGAGTCTCTTACGTTTCCTGTTTACACTGACCATGCACTCGAAAACAGATTAAAGTGCATTTGAAAAGAACCAGTTCTGCCCACCCAGTACCCACCAGGTCGCTGGGTTTGGTGGCAGCTTCAGTGGATGCCTTTTAGTAAAAGTGGCCTAGGGCCTGGAGAGAAGGCCCAGCAGCTGAGCACTTGCAGCTCTCCCAAAGGATCCAGCCTCCATCCCTCAGCTAAAGGTGGGACTTCATGAGCCCCTCCCGCATCCATGCTAGGAGTTTGGTTGGTGTGGTCCTGTGCAGGCCTTGTGAGTGCAGTCACAGCAGCTGTGAGTTACTTACAACCCTGTCTTGTCTGGCAAATACTGTTTGATACAGACATCCTCCCCTCTGGCTCTCACTGCCTGCTTCCTACGTGGGAAGCACGCCACCACACTCCCCAAAGGCCTTGCCTCTTAAAAGTCCACCACCTCCTAAGTTCACAGAGAGCCAGACTTCCAGCACACAGCCTTTCTAGCCACAGGCTTTAGCCAGACTGTGGCACACATCCAGCTAGGATGAACCACTGTAAGAGAAGGGAAAAATCAGCTAAGGAAGCCAGACATGATGGAGCACGCCTTTAATCCCAGCACTCAGGAGGCAGATGGACAGATCTCTGAGTTGAGGCCAGGGCTACACAGAAACTCTGTCAGCGGTTGGGGGCGCATGGAGTTAATAGCGTGAGCAAGGGAACATAAGGAAAGTGGGCAGACGCTTCCAGAATCCTCTGCCAAAGCAGTCACATACCATGCGCTTCACCCCACATGAACAGACTGCCAACATGGGAAGGGGTGATCTGCCAGGTAAGGGCAGTGTCTGTCTGCACCCAGGTTTCTATGGGGGCAATCATGGAGACTCCCATGTGGTGACGGCAGGACTCCCTCCTCCCAGTGAGCATGTGCATGCTTAACACAGACCATTGTGTGTGTGCAGGTAGTTAGCACCACACTGAGCCATCCAGATAAGGGTTTGTTTGGATTTGCTTTTTGTGGTTTTTGACCGAGGATCATTATGAAGCCCAGGCTGCTCTAGAATCCTGCAGCAGTCCTGACAGCCTCTGGGTGCTGGGATGACAGGCAGTCTTCACCTAACCCTGCTATCTTTGTTCTGAGCCCTTAACATGTCATGGGTAAGAGGAGGCTGCCGGCTCAGATCTCAGGCCACCACTCCCTATGTGGGCCATGGAGGGATTCCCAGCTCCCACCTCACAGGACAGTAGGGAGAGCCGGGAAGATGAGGTGGGGTGAGGCTGCAAAGGAGAGGTGAACGATGGCTACAGAGGCACACTAAGCCTTCCTACAGGGGTTACGAACACTTACTGCTCTTGCAGGGGCCCCTGGTTCTAGTTCCGCCACCCACCCGGTGGCTCACCACCATCCTTAACTCCAGTCCCAGAGGACTGGCAAATCTGGGCTCTAACAGTAGGCACACATATGGTGCACAGACACACATGCTAGCCAAACACCCATACACATAAAAAGTAACATCCTATATGCATCATAATTGACATCCCTGTAGTTTTTTTTTTTTTTTTAAGATGTATTTATTATGTATGCACTCTTCTTCCTGCAGGCCAGAAGAGGGCACCAGATCTCACTACAGAGGGTTGGGAGCCACCATGTGGTTGCTGGGAATTGAACTCAGGACCTCTGAAAGAACAGCCAGTGCTCTTAACCACTGAGCCACTCTCCAGCCCAACATCCCTGTAGTATTATCTGGCCCTCAGAAGGAACTCTGAACATCTGGTCCTGCCAGACATATGCGGTCTGGGTTCCACATCAGCATTCACAGAGCAGGGTTCAAGGCCAAGGTTTGGTACCCAGAGTCTTCCGGGAATAATAATAGTGTGTGTCTTTGAGCAGAGAGATGCTTTTCAATGTAACATGAGGGTCATGACAACAAAAAGATCGCAGATAAAAATGGCATTAGGGGCAGAGTGTGGGAGCCAAGCTGGTCTTCCCCAGCACTGGAGAAGTTAGGACCGGAGGGAGAAGGGTGTGAGGCCAGTGTGGACTATTTACGGGGTTGGGGAAGGTTTTTTTGGGGGGAGGGGCTTTTTAACTTTATTTTTCTGTGTTTGTTTTGCCTGCCTGTATGTCTGTGCACCACATTCATGCCCGGTGCCCATGGAGGCCAGAAGATGCATCGAATGAATCCCCTGGAGCCAGAGTTACAAGTGAGCCACCATGTGGATCCTTGGAACGAAATCCTGGTATTCAAGCAAGGGCAGCCAGTGGTCCTAACCATTGAGCCATCTCTCCAGGACTTGGGCAGGTTTTTAACACAATCACAGACTTAAAATATCTTCCCCAAAGTCAAGTTTAGAGTATGTTTTATTGCTCAGTCCCCATGAGCAGTCACTACTTCCTGTTGCCCCCCTTGTGAGCTGCCCCAGGTAGCGTGTCTTCTGTCTGTGCGTTTGCCTGCTCTGGCTGTATGCCAATTGTAACGACACACACCCTTCTTCTGTGCCTGGCCGCTGTTGCTCAGCAACAACTTCTGGTGTTTTGTTTTGTTGAGACAGGGTCTCATTGTGTAGCCCTAGCTGGCCTGTTCTTGATATGTAGACCAGGCTGGCCTTGGATTAACTGATGTCTACCTGCTTCTGCTTCCCAAGGGCTGCCATTCAAGGCCAGGGCCATCATACCCAGCAGCAGCAAGTTATTAGTTTATACAAGTTATAGCCTGCGGCAGAACTTTCCTCTTTCCAATGTGTGGTGCCATGTTTTGAGTGTGTCTTCCAAGGTTCCTAGGCTCACAGCTCAAGCCCAATGTAGTAGTAGATCCTTTTTTTTTTAACTTAAAAAATATATTTTTTTCTGTGTGTATATGTGTTCAGAAGTCAGAAGACAGCTTGTAGGAGGAGTCACTGTGTGATTCCTAGGGACCAAACTCAGGTATCATGCTCGGCAGCAAGTGCAGTTACCCCCTGAGCCATCCTATCCCCTGCCCACCCTCCCTTTTTTGAGATAGGATACAGCCCAGACTGTATCTAGCTTTACTCCTGCCTCGACCTCTCCAAGTAGCTGGGATGAGAGGTACGCCATCATTTCTTCTGCCTCAGCCCTGACATCCAGTATGGTACCTGCACAGAACTCAAGCCCAGCCAACGTTTGTGAAATGAATGAATGAACAAGGGAAGGAGTAGAAGCAGATGCCCTAGGCAGAGAGAAGTATAAAATGGCGGCTCTGCCCCTTCCCTGTCTGCCCCCTGTCCCGAGTCTGTGACCCAAACGGATGTGGTTTGGCTGCAGCTACCTACCCTGAGGATGGTCCACTCCAGCTCACCCTATGAGGTCAACGAAAGAAGCTGACACAGAGGGAGAGGGACCTCAGGGTCCCCGTTACCTTCCATCAGGCATCCCTGTTTACACTGCCTTGGTGGCCACCACGGCCCCCTTCCTTCCTCTGGGAGCTGTGTGTCCGTTTGTGAACCACAGACATGGCGGGTGGGGGAATTCTACTTTAACTGCTGACAGGAAGATGTTATCCTGTGGAAGACCGCAGCCCAAGAGCTAAGCTGAAACAGCTCATGTTCTCCGAGACTGAGCCCCATGCACATAAGAACCGCGAAGACCTGACTGTCCAGATGACACTACTTCTGGACTCTTCTGTCCTTCACCAGAGAAGCTGGGGACCAGGCCAGAGCAAGCAAGTGTGAGGAGGATCAGAGAGGTCAAGGGCGTTGGCCCAGCCAGTGAAATTAGAGCCCATCTCACCTGGAGCCAAGTCAAAAGGCACCAAATTAAGTCATAATAATCGCCCGGATAAACTGACTCAGCTGAGCCCCTGGGCCCTTTGCTTGAGTGGGTCTATCATGGGGCCAACCCTGGTTTCCTTCTCTGTTTTCCTTTGTCAGCCCAAAGACTCCCAAGCCCACACCACCCTGGGAAGAGCTGTGTGTGTGTGTGTGTGTGTGTGTGTGTGTGTGTGTGTGTGTGTGTGTGTGTGTGTGTGTAAGGCTCCCAGCTCCATCCTAGAAGGTGTCAACTTCCAGATGCCCTGGAGAGGAGGAAGTAGCTTTGCCACCTGGTGTGGAGTATGTGTGTGTGTGTGTAAAAGGCTCCCAGCTCCATCCTAGAAGGTGTCAACTTCCAGATGCCCTGGAGAGGAGGAAGTAGCTTTGCCACCTGGTGCGGAGCCAAGAGATGCTGAGGCAGGCTGTTCACAGCCAAGTCAGCTTTGCCTGTTAGGCACAGGGACACATCACCCAGGACCCAGGGTATGCACAGGAGTCCCCACACAATGTTTTAGTTCATTTTAAAATCAGAGAGAAGTCAGGCATGGACTGGACCTGCAGCTCAGTTAGCAAGGTGCTCGCCTATGATGATGAAGCGCTGGGTCCCATAGTCACGCCTACGATCCCAGCACTCCAGAGGTGGAAGCAACAAGAGCAGGGCTTCGCAGCAGCCTCAGCCTCAGTTTAATGGGTTCCAGGCCAGCCAGGGCTCCACGAGACCCTGTCCTAGAAAAAACAAACAAACAAACAAGATAAAATAAATGGACGTTCTGGTTTTGTTTTCTTTGGATTTTGAGTTTGAGTCTCCCTATGTATCCCAGGCTAACCTGGAAACCCAAATCCTCCTGCCTCAGGCTTCTAAATGCTGGGATTATAAACCTGAGCCATCATGCTTTTTATGGTCTGAAGGCAACAGAGAATGTCATTTCAAGAGTGTTTTGCAAAGGAAGGCAAGACAGAGCTGTGTGTGCAGTCTGTCCTTCAATGTCTCTCCAACCTCAGGGCCTTTGCACATACTGTTCTCTGTCTACACACTCTTCCTGCACTCCATACCCACTGAGCAGTCTACTTGCCCCCTTTCACTTTCTGACTGCCACACCCCCATTTCCTGACAGATGATTACCTCGGGGCTGCAATAAGGGCAGGAAACGCAGCTCAGCTGGCAGAGTGCTTGTCTAGCAAGCTTGAAGTTCTGGGTTCCATCGCCAGCACCGCATAATCTTGGCATGATGGTACAGGCCTGCCAGCACTCAGGAGGTGGAGGCAGGAGGATCGGGAGTTCAAGGGCATCCTCAGCTACATAGTAAATTCCAGGTTAGCCTGAGCTACATGAGACTGTCTCAAAAGGGAAGGAGGGGCTGCAGCTGTCTCAGGGGACCCATGGAGCTGGTAGCAAATAGGTACTGAGCAAACCCTTGGCAGGAGCCAGTATCAGCTTCAGCTACAGATACAAGCCCTGAGCTTGGTCCCGCCCTTATTCACCTGCTGGAGGAAACAGGAACTGCCTGGGGCTGCCCGCCCTGCCCCTCTGACGTGCAGACCCTGAAGTGAAACTTAGGCTCCAGCGGCAGCTCAAGAGCCCTGCGGAACACAGCCTAGACTCTCCAAGGTATGTATCCTACATCCTGAACTCCTCATCTGGAATCCTAGCATCCCTGCATCCCTACATTCCCCAACTGCAGAACCTCTGTGGCTCCAGCTCTGGGTGGAGTGGGGCTGGGAGATAAGGGAAAGGCTTACCAGGGAAGGGAACCGTTTGCAAGCTCTGTCATGGTTAGCCACACCTGCCATTCCAGCACTCTGGGGGCCAAGGCAGGCTAGATCATGAGTTTGAGGCTAGCTTCAGCTACATAGAGAGACCTGTTTCAAAGAAACCATCGACCCACTAGCCCTGTGTCCTAAGAAAGCAATGAGGGTAAGACAGAGAAAAAGTCTCTCCAGCTCCTTGGGATCCAGCTGGAGTCAGCAGAGGAAGGAACAATGGGGAATCTCAAAGGGAGGGAACATTGCCAGGGGTTTTCATAGGCAAGGGGGGCAGGAAGACTGGCTGGAGGAAAGGACATTTGCATTGAGTCTTGAAAGAAGTGTAGGAGTGCTCTGAGGTAAAAAGAGAATTCTGTGCCAGCTTATGACTGGGTTCAGCTGTATTTTATACAGAGGCAGATGTAGGGTCCCTTCATGATGGGATACATTCTGGGAGATGCCTTGGTAGGTGATTTTGTCACAGCGTGTACTTGGTTGCCTGCTGCACCCCTGGGGACCGGGACTCCAATCTGCATGAATACTGTCAGAACTGGAGCACCATGGAGGTGTCTGTGCCTGCATGGTGAATAATGAAATAAGAAAAGGGAAGTAAAAAGGGAGGGGCTGACAAGATGGCTCAGTAGATAAAGCATTTGGCAGAGGGTCGTGAGGACCTGAGTGCAGATCCCCAGAACCCAAGTAAAGTCTGGCAGGCAATCCATGGCCACCTGTCATCCCAGTGGCCTGTGGGAGGTGGAGGCAGGAGAGCCCCAGGGCAGCTGGCTAGTCAGACTCACCGAAGCTGCCAGCTCCAGCTTATTCAGAGCCTCTGCTTCAATACGTAAGGGGGAGAGTGAATGAAGAAGACACTCGATGTCAATTTCAAGCCTACATACATCTGCACACGTGCGTGTCCATACACTTGGACACACACACACACACACACACACACTAATTTTTTTTTTTTTTTCCGAGACAGGGTTTCTCTATGTAACAGTCCTAGCTGTCCTGGATCTTGCTCTGTAGACCAGGCTGGTTTCAAACTCAGAGATCCGCCTGGCTCTGCCTCCCGAGTGCTGGGATTAAAGGCGTGCACCACCACCGCCTGGCTACACTAAAATTTTTTAAATATCAGAATGAGATTGGAGAGAAGGGTAAACAGTTAAGAGTGCACACTGCTCCTGCAGAGGATCTGAGTTCAATTCCCAGCACCTGCATTGGGAGGCTCACAACCACCTGTAAATCCATCTCCAGGGATCTAGTGTACCTTCTGGCCTCCAGTGGTACCTGCACACACATGGCTGATAAACATTTATACACACATACACAGAGAGAGAGAGAAGCACACACATACACATAAATAAAAATAAAAACCTTTTAAAAATAAATAAGCAATAAAATAAATAACCAGAGAATAGGAGCATTTCAGCTCCACTATTATTATTTTCAAGAGTGGGCTATAAACTCCTGATCCTTCTGTCTCCACCTTGTAAGTACTGAAATGGCAGATGTACATCACCACATTTGGACTTTTGTTTTTAATTCAGGGTCTCCCAGCATCATCCTGGTAGCTTTGAGCTCATGGTAGTCCTGCCTCAGCCTCCCAAGTCAGGGATTACGGGTATGTGGCAATAGCCTGGGGTCCTGGCACAGTGTAAACTGGGTTAAATAGAGTAGGCCTGTCATCCCAGCACTTGGGACAGGGAAGTGAGACGATCAGGAGTTCAGGGTTATCCTTAGCTACACTCTGGCCAGCCTGGTCTACATAACTGTCTCAAAAAATAAAAATAAAACAGAAAAGAAAGAGGCCGTCTCTGACCTTTCCATATATACAGGTGTGTAAGCAATCTGTATAATGTATAATGTGTTGACTATATAGTACTTTGTCCCAGCCATCCCCTTCCAAAGATGTCACCTAGGGACAGAAGTTAAGGCCCCGAGCAGTTAAGTTTGTGACTTCACACAGCAGCTATGTAGGGTAGAATTTGAACCCAGATAATCTGCCTCTAATTCCAGCTGCTTTGATGCCTGTGATCCCAGGCCTCATCCTGGGGAGACCCTAGCCTGGAAGAGACAGTTCACCTTCATGGAACTCCTGCTGAGAGAGAGGGAACAGGAAACAGGAAACAGAGACAGTGTACAGCTTGGTTATCAAGTGTTCATTAATGGATTCGGTTAATGACTTTCCTCTGAGTGCCTCTGGGCCACACCTGAGGGAATGAGTTTGTTGTCTGGGAAGAAAAAGTCAGCACAGCCACCCTGTGTCAACAGACCCCTCCCTGTGGGATCAGCCCATCATCCAGGGCTGGAGATGGGGACTGCACACACAGCTCAGGTCTCGGGACTGAGTGAAGAGGGATTGAGGCCCCGGGAAGAGCTTCTTGCTGGTTTTCCTTCAGCTTAACACTTAATACTGTTTTGCATTTCAGACCATGTCCATTATGTCATCAGCCCACAAAGCCCTGCGGTACCCTGAGTGTAAATCAACCAACATGAGTGTGAATTAACAGCACACAGGAGGAGCTGTCACCTAAGGAGGTAGAGGGAGGAGGGTTGGGGGTTTAAGGCCATCCTTGTCTACATGGTTCGTTTCAGGCTAGCTTGTCTCATTAACCAAACCAAGAGCCCGCTTAGTCCATAAAATGCTTCCTGTGTGAGCATTAAGGCCTGAGTTCAGATTTGCCTTCCAGCAGGCAGGTGACAACAGAGAAAAACAAAGGCCCAGCATGGGGTGGGGGTTGGGGGGTATGGGAGGACCCCTAGGATTCTGTGACCAGCCCCAGCTTTAGTGACAGACCCTTTCTCAGAATATAAGGTGAGGTATGAAGAAACTTTCCCTCCTCCCCCAAGGTGACCATCTTCCTTGGATGCCATGGCAGAAGCCAGGAAGCTGCCCCCACCACTGCCCCCTCGGCTGGACTGGTTTGTGCACACCCAAGCGGACCCACTGGTCCAATACGGGATCCCGGAGTGGTTCCACGGCACCATCTCTCGAGAGTAAGGATGTAATGATAACCCCCATCCTGCCATATCCTCCTTCTTAGTCGTCACCCCTAACCACAGTGAACATTTGGGGGTGTACCCAGGTGGCAAGCCCCCTGTTCACACCATTCTCAGATTAGCTCCCAGCCATGGGAACAGATAAGGTTAGATACCTGCCTGAGGTCACACAGCAGATGCATAGCACAGCTGGGCTCTAGACTCAGTGCATCAGATGGATCATAGCCCCGGCTTTTTCACCTGGGGTACTGTGCTCCACCTAAGAGGATTTCAGATCTGGGACAGGCAGGTAGGGGCTGTGGGAGATAGGAGATCTCCTTCAGGGTCAACATCAGAGGCCTCCAAGTGTCCACAACCCAGCGCTTCAAACCACCAAGAAAGACAGGGTATTATTTACTTATTCAGAGGCTGTGGCTATGGCTTGATTGGTAAAGTGCTTGTAGCTTAGTTGATAGAGTGCTTGTAACTCAGTTGGTAGAGTGCTTGCCTGGCATACACAAAGCCCTTAGTTCTGTTCCCACTGTACATAAACCAGGCGTAATGTCATCCCAGTACTCAGAAGGTGGAGGGTGGAGGATCAGGAGTTCAAGTTCATCCTCAGCTGTATAGTGAGTGTGAGGCCAGCCTGAGCTACATGAGACCTTTCCCCCAAAGAAAAGAAAGGCAGCCTGAGAGTACAGGCCTGCAAGCTCCAGGGCCTGTCAGGTGTGCCCAGGTCAGGGTGAGGGTTCCCAGGTCAGGGTCAGGGTTCCCGGGTCAGGGTCAGGTGTTCCTGGGTCAGGGTTCCCGGGTCAGGGTCAGGGTTCCCAGGTCAGGGTCAGGGTTCCCAGGTCAGGTCAGGGTTCCCGGGTCAGGGTCAGGGTTCCCGGGTCAGGGTCAGGGTTCCCGGGTCAGGGTCAGAGTTCCCAGGTCAGGTCAAGTGTTCTCAGGTCAGGGTCAGGGTTCCCGGGTCAGGGTCAGGGTTCCCAGGTCAGGGTTCCCGGGTCAGGGTCAGGGTTCCCGGGCTCTCGGCTTCCTATGTAAGGGCTCACATGAATTTTCAAAAGCAGCAAAACTGTCTCATTAAGACAAAGCAATGGTGCAGGTTAGTCAGGGTTACACTGTCAAGACCGACGACAGCAGGGGCCAGTGAGATGGCTCGGGGGTAAGGGTGCTTGTAGCCAAACTTGACAATGCAAGTTCAATTCCTGGGACCCCCAAGGCAAAAGGAGAAAACCAACTCTGTGGACTGTCCTCTGACTTCTGAGTATGTCGTAGCACATTTGACCGCCTGGCTGTCCTTGAAATAGGCTGGCCTCAAACTCACAGGTACCTGCCTGCCTCTGCCTCCTGAGTACTAGGACCAAAGGTGTGTACTCCAAGAGAAGGCATTTTGGTGCTGAGGGAGTGTACTGTGGGTGGTTCTGTTTTGATTCACAGGCTTGAAATAGATAGGTCTTGCTCATGGTGCATGCCTTTTCTATAATGCATCTGATTCTAGTCACATGCATGCCCCAGTTATACACAGGTGTAAGATTCGCCCCAAAAGCCATGTACATGCACACTAGATCAGTTGTGGCTGGGTCAGAATTTTTCTTTCTTTGTAAGGAGATATTTACATTTTTGTTGTATTTTATTTATTATGTGTGTGGAGGTCAGAGGTCAGCTTGTGAAAGTCGGTTCTCTCCTTCTATCCCAGGGATTAAATTCAGGCAGACAGGCTTGGCAGAGCCATCTGGCCAGCCCCGGGTCAGTCCTTCACTTCTTCCTCCTCGATACCCTGGGAACACACTTGAATAGAAACTAAATTGGGGTGGGGAAACTTACCCCATTCTTTCTTTCTTTTCTTTTCTTTTTTTTTTTTTTTTTTTTTTTTTTTTTTTTTTTTTTTTTTTTGGTTTTTGGAGACAGGGTTTCTCTGTGTAGCTTTGCTCCTTTCCTGGATCTCGCTCTGTAGACCAGGCTGGCCTCGAACTCACAGAGATCCTCCTGGCTCTGCCTCCCGAGTGCTGGGATTAAAGGCGTGCGCCACCACCGCCCGGCTACTTACCCCATTCTTAAGTGAGAGATGTACAGGTAGCCTGATGCACGTGGGGGTCCAAGGTTGCTCTGTGCGTTGTTCAGAGGGGTGGGTGTGGACAGGCACACACAGAACATAGAGGCGAGAGAGCTGGGCGCCATGTGCAATACTAAGAGCCCTGTGCATAACCAGAGCCAGATGGAGCCCTGGGTTGCTAAGCCATCCTCTGTGCTGGCCTGCCTCCATATCCAACCATCTCCTTCCTCTGTGCCTCTCCAGAGCTGCTGAGAACCTGCTGGAGTCACAACCTCTGGGGACCTTTCTCATCCGAGTCAGCCACAGCCATGTGGGCTACACCCTTTCCTACAAGTAAGGCCATGGGGGAGGTTAGGCCCAGGAGAGGGACAAAGGCACCTCATGCATAAGGGGCCTGCCCAGTGTGCAGGCCTGGAACACTGGGGCAGACCTGAGACCTGTGTCTGAGGATAGGGCAGGCAGAGATCTGAGGGTGGCCCCTGCCTCCTTCCACACTTCACCTTCAGATTATTGACATGAGTCTGGGTCAGGGAAGTCAGGGCTGCGAGCTCCTGGGGCCTCAAAGCCTGATTTTGGCATCTTAGAGCATTCACAGGAAAGCCTGCCTGCCTTCCTTCCTTTCTTCCTCCCTCCCTCCCTCCCTCCCTCCCTCCCTTCTTCCCCCTCTTCCTTCCTTTTCTATCTCTGTCTTCCTATTTGGAAGAGGGTTTCATAGCCAGGTTGTCTTGAACTGGCTGTGTAGTATGGGGTGCACATCTGTTAACCCAGCATGGGAAAGCTGAGTCAGGGGGATCTGAAATTCAAGGTCCTCCTTGGCTACATAGTAAGTTTAAGTGTAGCCTGGACTCCATGAGATGGTGTCTTTAAAATGAAAAGATTACTATCATTTTGCTACTACTATTTGGTTGAGACTGAGTCTCACCATGTAGCCCAGGCTGGCTTCCAACCCTCCATCCTCTTGCCCTGAGTCTCCCAACGCAGGGATGACAGGCAGGCACCGCAATTAGCTCGTATCCCCTTATTTCATCCACCCAAGAACTCCTGAGGTGGGCCTTAGAAACCCTGCGTGCTAACTGGGGAAATCTAGGCCCAGTGGCTGCATCCCAACCCCAGCAGTGCCTCCACAGAGCCCAGACCTGCTGCCGTCACTTCATGGTGAAGCTCTCGGACGATGGGACTTTCATCCTTGCTGGGGACCACGTAACCCACGCCTCTCTGGATGCCCTGGTCACTTTCCACCAGCAGAAACCCATTCGGCCATACAGGGAGCTGCTGACGCAAGCCTGTGGGCAGGTGGGGGCAAGGGGACCCCAAATGGGGCCAGAGAGTGCCAGAGGCCCTAGCATGGAATCCACAGGGGTTCATCTGCAGGAATGGCTTTCCTCTGAGGCTGGTGGGCGTGGCTTACCTTATGTGAACTGGGCTCTTTCAGTTAATGAATGATGAGTGTGGCCTAAACCTGCTGTGGGAGGGGCTCTTTCCTCTGATGGCTGACGGGCGTGGCCTAAGATCTGCTGTAGTTGGAGCTCTTTCCACCATCTGAGACTTGTGGGCAAGGCTCTTTCATCCCCGAGGCTGGTGGGCGTGGCCTAGACACTGTGGGCGGGGCTCTTCCCCTGAGGCCCAGTGGGCGTGGCCTGGGTTCTGATATCGGCTTTTAGAGGCCTCCAAACCAGGGTTCTCCCAATCCCAGCCTTTCCCACTGCCGAGTCTGAGCCCTATGTCTCTTCCACACCTTGCAGAAGGATCCAGCAAACGTGGACTACGAAGATCTCTTCCTGTACTCTAATGCCCTCGCTCAGGATGCTGAAAGCCGAGGTGGTGGCCCCACGGATGTTCAGAGGCCTTCTTCCTGCCCTCCTGAAGAGGTAGGCCCTGGGTGGCACCTCCAGGCTGGGTCTGGCAGAGAAAGATGCTAGAGCAGGCCCTTTCTAGAAAGAGTTCTCTTCTGTAGCTAGGTAATTAAAGAAAAAAAACAACTTCCCAGTGATTTCTAGACTCGGATTAGATTCCACGTTGTGGTCTCGGGTTGTGTGTTGCTCAGTGATAGTGCTTGTCAGGGGTGCCTAAAGCTTGGGGTTCCATCTCTACCCCATCAGAAGCAACCAGGAACTCTGGAACTTCATCCCCTCCCCCTGAGCTGCTTCTTGTGTTCAGACCCATCAAGCCACCCTGAGAACCTTTGGTGCTGTTCTACTCCAGGCCCTTCCTCCTGGGACCCTCCAGAGGGCCATTGCACTTTCCAGGATTCTTCTTTTAGAAGCCATTCAAGGGTCTCCCTCCCTAGTTCCTGAATCTTAAGTTTCCCCACACACTTCACCCCGTGTGGTCATTGCAGAGAACCACTTCCGACTTGAGAGGCTTTTGTTTATTCTGGGTGTGTATGTTTTACTTTCTGTTTCTCCCCTCAAACCTGTGGCCCAGGTGGCTCATTCTGCACTGCTGTCCTCACCCCTCCAAGAGGACCTGGCATAGTTTTTGTTTGTTTCTGTTGAGACAAGGTCTCTCTATGTAGCCCTGGCTGGCCTGAACTCACTCTGTAATCCAGGCTGGTTTCAAACTCACAGAGATCCTCTTGCCTCTGCCTCCTGAGTGTTGGGATTAAAGGTGTGCACCACCAGGGGGCTGGAGAGATGGTTCAGAGGTTAAGAACATTGGCTGTTCTTCTACAGGTCCTGAGTTCAATTCCCAGTAACCACATGGTGGCTCACAGCCATCTATAATAAGATCTGGTGCCTTCTTATGGTGTGCAGTCATACAGGCAGGCAAAACACTGTATACATAATAAATAAATAAATCTTAAAAAAAAAAAAAAAGGCGTACACCACCAGGCCCGGCCAGGTCACCATTTGAAGGAGCCAGGCTAATGACTCTTCAGTGTAGATGGGTGAATAACTGATGGATATGTGCGTTGTGGCTCCTCGAGGCTGGTGGGGCCTTTAGGTTGAGGCCATGTTGTACTCCAGGCTTCCTGTGTTGCCGGGAAGTGCTGACAGCGGTGGGGATGAAACAGGCTGGTGTTTTGGACATCTGTTTGGGTGCAAGTCAGAGAAGACATCCCGGAGGCGGTTTCAGGGTGCTGGGATATGAGGATGGGGGCAGCTAGACACAGAGATTCAGGAAGGGCATTCCCAGAGTGGGGAGATGTGCGCAAAGGCCCTGGGGCTTGTGTGTCTACAGAACAGAGTGACAAACGGCAATACATGGATCATTGTGGCTAGGGACCTCAGGGGTACTTAGTGATCCTATCTTCTACCCTCCCCCACCCCCGCCCCTCCCAATGGAGAAGGGTGGGGCAAATGTTGATAATAGAAGCGGTCCCCAAAATCATGTTGGGTAAATTCATTGAGCCACGCCCCCAGCCTAGCTGTAATTCTTTTGAGAAAATTTGCCAAACCTTGGGAGCGGTGGTGAAGCCACACAGAGAAATGGGCAGAATGGGGCAGGGATCGGGCTTGGGAGCTCCAGTGCCCTGAGGCAAGGTTGTGGGGTTGCCTGGAGCTTTGCTGATCAGCTGGGCCCCAGGCCTCCCCTTCTCTGTTCCACGTTCCCAGTTCCAGGCTCCTAAAAGGAAGCTTTCTGCAGCAACTGATGGAAAGCTTGCATCAGCCCCCTGCTCCCCAAAAGCACTTTTTGGAGAGGCGCGACAGAGACTGTGGAAGAACCTGAGGACGCTGCCAGACACCAGCCGGAGGGTGAAACAGAGGCTCACTTCGCACCTGTCGGCCACGAACCTGCTCGGGGACATCAGGCGTGTGGCGCAGCATCGCAGCCCTGTGACACGAGCATCCAGCTGGGACAGCTCTCGCCACTCCGCGGACCCCTGTGCAGCCACCTCTCTCCAGAACCCCTCAGAGCCCCAGGCCTGGAGAGGCGGGGAAGCCACCTTCACAGCCTCTAGGCCTGCCAGCTGGAGGGAGGCAGTCTCAGGGGTCAAGGCCTGGCGTGGGAAGGTGGTGAGGGCCCTGTCGGTCCAGGCAACCAAGCCAGACCCTGTAGACTTGCCAGAAGCCCAGGACTGGCTACCCGAGGAATACCTCCCACCACCACCTTTCGCCCCTGGGTACTGACAGCGCCCCCTCTATCTTGGGCACCGGCCTCTTCTTTCCAGTCCCCACCCCTGTCCTCACAACCAGAGAGCTGTGTTAAAGAGGTTACGGGGCTGAATTCTGCAGTTGCCAGCAGAGGGACCTGATTATTCTAACAATAATAGAAGTACCTCTTTAGGGACTCGGGTGAGATAGCCCAGCAGTAAGAGGGTAAAGGCGTTTGCAGGCAAGCGTGACTACCTGAGTTCGATCCCCGGTACTCACATGATGGAGGGTGAGCCCCAACTCCTGACAGTTGCCCTCCGACCTCCACATACATGTGTTGATATACACACGCAGTAAATATAACTTTAAAAATAATTACCGCAGTGACTTGGTGGGCAGAGCACATGCCAGGCCTGTATCCCAACCTCTCTGATCATGGGTTAGCCATCTGTATCCATGGGCTCCACATTTCACATTCAGCTACATTAGCTTATTTAGTGAATTTCAGACCAGTGTTTAAAAAAAAAAAATCAGAGCAGGCAAGATGACTCCAGTAAAGGCACTTGCAGCTAAGCCTGAGGATCTGGGTTTGAGCCCCAGGACCCATAGTGGAAGGAGAGATCTGATTCCTATAAGCTGTCCTCTGACCTCCACACATGTGCCCCTGTCCGTGCCAACAAATAATATAAAAAAATTGAAAGCCAACGTGGACACCCTTTGAGGAACAACAGCCAAAATTGTCCCCTGACATCTGCCTGCACGAGAACACACATGAGCACACGCACACCCCAAAAAAAACCCACAAAGGCATCTGTGCAGAGTGAGGGTTGGCAGTGGCCTCCGAAGGCATTCCTACATTAAAGTGCTGTGTGATCTTTGATGAACATAGACCTCTCTGGGCCCATTTCTTCACTTGGGAGATGGGGAAGACAGCAGGTCCCTTCTCAGGAGGGACATATAGAAAAGAGGCAGGGAGGATGGGCTTCTATCACCACCATCATCACCATCATCATCGAGATAGGGTCTCATTATGTATTCCTGGCTGTGCCAGAAGTGACGGAGATCCACCCGCCTCTGCCTCCTGAGTGACAAGGTTAAAGTTGTACCACACCAGGCCTGTCCCGTTTTCATTTTATTGTTTCTGTTTTGTTTGAGATAAGGTCTCTCTGTGTACCCCTGGCTGTCCCGGAACTCACTCTGTAGACCAGGCTGGCCTTGAACTCACAGAGATCCGCCTGCCTTTGCCTCCTAAGTGCTGGGATTAAAGGCGTGCGCTACCACCAACCGGCTAGAACTATTTTCATTTTTAAATGTGTATATGTGGTTATGTGTGTGCACATAAGTGCAGTTGCCCATGGTGGCCAGAAGGTGGCATCAGGTCTGCTGGAATGGGAGGTTCAAGCAGTTGAGAGCCACCACCACGTAGCAGCTGGAACCCAACCCAAGGACCAAGTCCTCTGCAAGAGCAGCAGGTGCTGCTAATAGCTGAGCCATCTCTCCAACCCCAGAACCTGATGCTTTTAATCACTGGAGTGAGTGGTCTGGGAAGATTCTGGGTGGCTGGGCCGTGTGGTGGGATCACCACCTAGCGGGAAGGCGGGTGCCCTACACAAAGACCCTGGGACAACCTTGGGCTCCTGGAATTCACAAGACATGGAGGTGTGAGTGAAAAATGAGGCGCTCATGGGCTCAAGTTGGCCTCTGGAAAGGAGCTATGGTGTGGCTTGGACAGCCTTCATATGTTAACTGGAGTTCCTGCCCCTCTAGACTTTGAGGTCTAGAAGTCAGTTTGTTGTATGAATGGAAGATGGCAATGCAGAGTGGGTGTGGCCACACAGCAAAAAGCAAAGATCCTGAGGCAGGTTTGATTCCTGTTTATTCAGAGAGATCAGAGTCAAGATGGGTGAGGGTCAGGCCTTGTCCTCCGGGCACTGTCAGATGCGGATGTGGAAGGTGCTGCGTACAGAAAATAGAGGCATCACTGATAGCTCGAAAATAGATACTGGGTCCCCAGTACTCTCTCTTCTAGACCCAGAGGCAAGCAGGGATCCACAGGAATATGGACACCCTAGAAATCACGGACGGTAATTCTCCTGCCCCTATGAGACTTAGGCTACAGGTCAACATCAGGGGTCATTCCTCAGGCTTCCACACTATATTTTATAAAATATTTACCTGTTTATTTGTGTGTGTGCGTGTGTGTGTGCATGCGCACGTGCACACACATACGTGCTTGGGTATGTGTATATGCAGTATGTTACATGCAGGAGCCTGCAGAGGCCAGAAGAGGGCATCAGATCCCCTGGAACTGGAGTTACAGGCAGTTGTGAGGCACCATGTGGGTGCTGGGAACAGAACCCAGGTCTCTGGCCTGAGCAGCAATCACTCTTAATCACTGAGCCCTCTCACCAGCCCCAGAGACCTGTTTTTCATTTGGTTAGTTTTGGGTTTTGAAAACCTTGGCTCATTCTGTAGTTCAGGAAGCCCTGGAACTCACAGCAATCCTCCTGCCTCAGACTTCTGGGTGCTTCAACTACAGGTATGTGTGCCACCATGCCAGATGTCCATGGGGATCTTAGGCACCTGTCTGGATAAGCATTCACACCCCTGCCTCTTCCCAGACTGACTGTTGGCCCTCTCTGAGCTTCAGTTTATTCCTCTGATAAACGGAAGTGTTTAGGCTTCAATTGATGGCACAGGGCTTTAACCTCAGCACTCGGGAGGTAGAGGCAGGTGAATCTCTGTGAGTTCAAGACCCATCTGGTCTACATAGAGAGTTCCAGGCCAGCCGGATCTAAATAGTGAGACCTTTTCTGAGAAAAAGTAAACCAAACAACTAAACATAGGAATGGATGGATGTGGCCCTGGCCCACAGTCTACCAACTCTGTGTTAACCATGCACCCACCCACCCAGCCCTGCATTTGGGGCTCTGACCCTACTCTAAACTGCTGAGGACAACTGTGTGGACAGTTCACAGCAAAATCTGTGGCAGTTGATGGAAACGCTGCTTCTGTCCACAGGAGATGCCCTGGTTATGATTCTCAGACAGAGTGGGCTGAAGCCACAGAATCTGGGGAAGTTCCCTGAGGTCTCAGATGACGCAGCAGGAATCCCCGTCCCTGGGTCTGAACCTGCACCTGAGGAAGTCTGGCGCCCGCAGGATCATGTTTTGGAAGTCCTCCAGGGACAGCCGCCCATCATGGTCGCTGTCTGCTTCATCCAACACCTTCTCACAGACCAGGGTCACCTCCTCAGCACTCAGCTCCCCACGGGTCAGCCTGGTCACCGTCTGCTCCAGGTCCCACGCGCAGATGTAGTCGTCATTGTTGAAGTCTGTGAGGCCGACAGTAGGGCTGGGGACACCAGGAGGACATGTCTGTCCCCAGGCTTTGGAATTGCACAGGGATGCCCGGAACTCATGTGCCAGTTACTGATCACCCACTGAGTACCCTAGAGCTTCGCACACTAGGCACTGAGAGCCAACCCAGCCATCGTGACAACTGTTTCTTTTACTTATACAACACCCACTGTATGTCAGGCACCATGCTGACTGATTTTCTCTTACCTAAGCAAGCATTTATTGAGTGCCTTCTGTTTGCCAGCCATTGGGATAACTTCATCTATCCATCCACTCAGTCAACTAATTGAGCACTCACTGTGTGCCAGGCACCATATCCACTCATTCAAGAAATATTTACTAGGTACCTACTGTGTGGCATATATGTTAACTTTTTGGGGGGAGGCATTTATTCACTTAACAAGTATTTGTTAAGTACATACTATGTACCAGGCATCATAATTGCTTTTTATTCATTCACTGACCCATCAAGTATGTATTGAATACCTACTGCTTGCCAGCCACTGTGGAGTGATTTGTCATTCATTAACTCTCCCTACACATGCTAAAATAAATAATAATGTAAAAGGTTGTTTTAAGTGTTTAGACCTGCGCCTGCCCACGGAGCTGCACACACGCTCCTGATGACTTCCACGGCAGATGTGGCTGAGGTCAGGGACACCGAGGACATGCCCAGGAGCACAAGAGAATCAGTCAACAGAGGGATCATCATGTATGGGGTCTGTGAGCTGTTGGGGCCTGGGAGAGTTTTATTGGTCCATTTACTGAGCACCTACTGTGTGTTGGATACCTTAGCAACTGTTCTTCATTGACTCACTTGTGCGTATTAAGTGTCTATTATGGGCCAGGCTGTTCTTCCACATGCCGTCATTCAGAAAATACTGAATACCTATATGCACTCTGAACAGAGACAGATGGGAATATGGCTCAGGGGTGGAGCCCCTGCCTAGAACCCCCAGTGAGGGGCTGAGGGCGTGGCTTGGGGTGGGGCCCCTGCATAGGATCCCCCAGGGAGGGGCTGGGGGAGTGGCTGGGTGGAGCCCCTGTGTAGGATCCCCCATTGAGGGGCTGGGGGCATGGCTCAGGGGTGGAGCCCCTGCATAGGATCCCCCAGTGAGGAGCTGTAGATGTTGCTGTAAGCAGAGGGCACAGCGAGAGCAAATGTCCTGAGGCTGGAAGCATTTGATAAATTCAAAAAAGGGTGAGCCTAATGTGACTGGAATAGTGTACACGGAGATCTGGGATAGGGTGGAGGCCCTGGCTATGTGGGCATTGGAGTCCCTGGGGAGATGAGCATTATATGGTCTCTGTCTGGTTCCCATCCCAGGACCCTGCACGCACCATAAATCTTAAAGGCGTAGTAGGCCTTCAGGTCCCGTGGAGCCATCTCACTCATCACTGAGAACATATCCAAGAAGTTCTCTAAGGTCATGTGACCATCTCCATCTTGAGAGAAGACCTGTGCAATCCTCTGGCGGAAAGGGTTATCCTGGGGACAGGAAGGCAAATATCTGCTCTTCAGGGCTTCCCCAGACCCCAGGTGTCATCCCTGCCCCATTCCCCAGGACCCAGGGGTCTGGAACAGGAAGTCTGGCTGCTCTCACCTGTGCACCCCATTTCCAGTTCCACAAGATGCTTATGGTCCAAGGAAGCCAATCAGAAGCTCACATCCAACTGCCAGACATAACTGAGGGGCATGTGACTCAAACTAACCAATCAGATACTTTCTGAGGCTTGTACCTCTTTCCAGAGAGGAGATTGGTGATCCTGTAGGTGTAGGGGGCCTGTCCAAGTCCACCATGACCACTCCTTGAGTTTTCTAATTTTAGTGCGTGCCTGTGTGTGTGTGTGTGTGTGTGCGCTCACTCTTTCTCTCATTTTAGTTTTGTTTTTTTTTTTTTTTTTTTTTTGGTTTTTCGAGACAGGGTTTCTCTGTGTAGCTTTGCGCCTTTCCTGGGACTCACTTGGTAGCCCAGGCTGGCCTCGAACTCACAGAGATATCCGCCTGGCTCTGCTAAAAAATTTTAGTTTTTAAATAATTTTTTACTTATTGTTTGACAATTACATTCACATATGTAATATCTTTAAAAAAAAAACTAGATTTAGGGCCCGGAGAGATGGCTCAGTGGGTAAGAGCTCTGGCTGCTCTTCCTGAGGACCCAGGTTCAGTGTCCAGCACCCACATGGTGGCTCACAACCATCTGTAGCTCCAGTTCCTAGGGATCTAACACCCTCTTCTGGCCTCTGAAAATACAAGGCATGCACATGGTGTATAGACATACATGCTGGCAAATCACTCATACACATATCATAAAATATTTTTTTAAAAATAAAATATAAAGCTGGGGGTGGTTGGGGATGTAGCTCAGTGGTAGAGCACTTGCCTAGCAAGTACAAGGCCTTGGGTTCAGTCAACAGCTGAAAGAAAGAAAGAAAGAAAGAAAGAAAGAAAGAAAGAAAGAAAGGAAGGAAGGAAGGAAGGAAGGAAGGAAGGAAGGAAGGAAGGAAGGAAGAAAAGCAAGCAAGTTGGGTATGATGGTGCACACATTTAATCTCAGCACTGGGGAGACATAGACAGGTAGATTTATGTAGTGAGTTTTAGGGCTACATAGATTGTCTCAAAAAAAAAACCAAAAGTAAAATAAAATTAAAAATAAATTAAGGTTTATTTAATTTTAATGGTGTGTGTGTGCGTGTGTGTGTGTGTGTGTGTGTGTGTGTGTGTGTGTGTGTATGTGTTTGTGTGTGTGTATACATGTGAGTACAGGTGCTTTCTTATATCCCCTCTTGGAGGGAAACATCTTTGTTCTTTGTTGTTGTTTTGAGACAGGGTTTCTCTGTATAGCCCTGGCTGTCCTGGAACTTGCTCTGTAGACCAGGCTGGCCTCCAACTCACAAGATCCTCCTGCCACTGCCTCCCGAGTGCTGGGATTAAAAGTGTGCGCCACCACATAGCCGGGCGGTGGTGGTGCACGCCTTTAATCCCAGCACTCGGGAGGCAGAGCCAGGCGGATCTCTGTGAGTTCAAGGCCAGCCTGGTCTACAGAGCAAGATCCAGGACAGGCACCAAAACTACACAGAGAAACCCTGTCTCAAAAAAAAAAAAAAAAAAAAAAGAGTTGCTGTGGTCATAGTGTCCCTTCACATCAATAGAACAGTGACCAAGACAGGACCCCAGTAAAACTCATTGGTTCACCAAGGTGGGCTCTGGGAATATCTGTACTTTGGTCTGTTGTCTGGGTGAGTAGATGTCTATTCATGTTTCCTCAGGACTGGTGCCACACATCACCTCTGAGTGACACCACAGACAGTATCAGATCCCCCGGAGCTGGAGTTACAAGTGGTTCTTTCCACACATACACACATTCCCCGATACACACACATACTCCCCATACATACTCCCCTGACACACACATCATCTCCATACACACATGCAGCCCCTCCACACACATCTCTCACACACCCGTACACCACCACCACCACCACACAAACACATCCCCCTTCCACACACACACATCTTCCCATACACACACACACACACACACACACACACACACACACACACACACACACACATATTTTGCCTATACATACACACATTCCCCTCACACACATCCCCCCACATTCCCCTCACACACATCCCCCCACATTCCCCTCACACACATCCCCCCACGTTCCCCTCACACACATCCCCCCACATTTCCCTCACACACATCCCCCCACATTCCCCTCACACACATCCCCCCACATTCCCCTCACACACATCCCCCCACATTCCCCTCACACATCCCTCTCACATGCACACACACCCCTCTTATCCTCCCACACCTTTGGATGTCTCCTTCCCAACTCGTGACTAAGTGCTTTGTCTTTCTGATTTCTTCCTTCCTTGTTTCCTTTTTTTTTCTTTTTCTTTTTATTTAATTTATTTATTTATTTTGCGGTAGGAGCTCATTGTGTGGGTGGCCTGGAACTTGCAATGTACCCCAGACCAGCCTCGAACTCACAGAGACCTGCTTGCGTCTCCAGGAGACGTGTGCCACCACACCCCAGCCCGCGACCGAGTTCCAACCTTGCTTCTCTTGTAGCAGCTGTGTCTCTCTGAGCCCCAGTTTTCTTTTCTGTGAAAGGGGGACACCAGCAGCTTCCACCTCATAAGAACACGATGTCTGCATTCCGTTTTCCCTCTGTCCCCACAGCCCAGCCATACCTTCAGCTCTGGCATGCTGCCAATCAGCTCGTAGGGAACCTTCACCTCAGGACAGGTGGTATAGTCGAGGGGCACCAATTGGGGGGCCAGGTCCTGGTAGCGATAGAAGAGCCTGGTGTGGGGAGAGAGAATCCAGGGAAGGCTGGGAGCCAAGAGGCAGAAGGGACTTGTCCCTCTTCTTATCCACTGGCAGTTACTCACTCCACAAGGAAGGACGCTGGGTCCCCAGAGTCTCAGACCAGAGTCTGACCCTGGAGCACACAGAACCAGAAATAGGCACCTGTCTCCCTGTCAGACAAGGCCAGAGTGCAGAGGGGAAGCAGAAACAAGGTGAGGAAGAAGGGCTTCCTGGAGGAGGAGGCATTGGTATTGGGCTTATAAGTAGGAATAGGAGTTGACCCGGAAGATGGAACTAGAAGAAGAGGCATTAATGACTGATCCATCATTCCATAGCCGATATTTGAGGGACCTGGCTATATAACCTATACAATTCATTATTACATCAGCAGGATCCTGTCTCTACTGACCCCTCCACCCAAGTCTCAGGCTTTCTTCACTCTCTCCACACTAGGAGGCAGCTTTCCCCAATCGGGCAGGGCACAAACAGTTAACGTTCAGATCTGGTTTTTTTGGTTTTTTGGTTTTTTTTTTTTTTTGAGACAGGGTCTCCATATATAGCCTAGGCTATCTCATGCTCTTCCTGCTTCAGCTCCCCAAGGCTTGTGCTACCACTTCTGGTTGATTTTTTTAAAAGGGAGTCTACAAAACACCGGTGACACTGTACCCTCCTCAAAGAGCCCATCCTTGACATCTCTGATGTCCCCAAGCTGCTAAGAACTTTCTCGGAGGAACAAGGATGTCCCTGGGTTTTCTCATGACTACATATCTGAGAACGGCTGGTGAGCCGCAGTCCTAAACGCCCCACCCCCTTGTCTGGGGTCCTCCAGGCAAAGCCCTGAGTGTGTTCATCTTTCCTTTAAATGTGTTTTTACAGTTATGTTATGTATTGATTTATGTACATGTGTGTGCATGCTACAGCCAATGTATCAAGGTCAGAAGACAACTAATGGGAATGGATTCTCTCCTACAGTGTGAGCCCTGGGGTCTGAAATTGGTTCTCAGGCTTGGCAGCAAGGACTTTTATTTGCTGAGCCATATCGAGGACTCACAGTTTGTCTTTCTTTGTGGTATCCAGTGAGTCCCTCTCTCCTCCCAGTCTCGGTCACTCTGTTTGGCAATCTGGAATCTTGGGCCAGTCGAAATGCCAGACTCACCATGACTCTGCCTGTCTGCCCTGGAAACAGAAGTCCTCCATGCCCAAGCCTCAGTTTCCCCACCAGTAATCTGATCATGATGGCCAAAGTGACCCTGCCAACTGTCCTCTCACAGACAATGGGCTGATGGGTGAGAGGTGTGCCCATCAATAATGGATGCCCTGTGCCCACACAAGAGGGGCTCAGCCCTGAGCGCCCCACAGCTGAACCCCAGCCGGCTTGGGTTTCACGGCTCCAAGTTCACGGATAATGGTCCAACAGACAGAAGGGTGACACAGGAGGTTCATTCGTGTCCATCCTGCTGGGCTCAAGCCAGGGACCTGCAGTCATCCAGGAGCTACCCACCTTCACACCACTCACGGCTCCGAGCTGGCCTCCCAACCTCAAAATGCCAATGTGCCTCTCCAGGGCTCCAGCACCTTCCGTGGCTCCCTGCTACCACTGGGTAAAAGTACAAATTCCTCAGTACAAAAACTCCGCCAGTGTGACAGGATGCGACTTCTCAGTCAACCATATCTGCCTCAGCCCACTGACCTGGAGGCAACACCCACGTCAAAGCTTTAACCTTGACGGTGCTATCTTGACTCCCTTCATATTGCAAAAGACACAGAGCATGGTGGAGTATGCTTGTGATCCCAGCACTCAGGAGGCAGAGGCAGGCAGATCTCTGTGAGTTCAAGGCCCCCTTGTTCCAGGACAGCCAGAACTACACAGAGAAAAACTGTTTCAAAGACAAAAACAACAACAAAAACAAAAAAACACCAACAAAAAACCAAGGGTAACCAAAATGCCGAAGTGGCTCATCTGGTGAAGACACTTGCTGCCTTGCCGCCAAGCCTGGTGACCTGAGTTTGACCCTTGAGAACCACATGGTGGAAAGAGAACATCTGAACCCTCTGGACTCTGTCTCCAGCGCCCAAAGGAGGTAGGAAAGAATCAACCCCACAAAATGTCAGCCGACATTTACACATGCACTCTGGCACATGTGCACACACATTTGCACACTCACATGTCATGCTCCCCACAACAATAATAATAATTCAAAAAAAAAAAACCAACTTGCAGCCAGCTACAGGGGCACACACCTGAGACCCCAGGACTCAAGAGGAGAGGTAAGTTTGAGGCTAGCCTGAGCTCCTTCTCAAAGCAAACCAAACAACAACCAACAGACTGCACAAAGGTCCAGCAGTGACTACAAAGTTGTTTTGGGGTGTTGCCTCCCCACTGACCTCATGATCTCCTTCCTCGTGAAGAAAGTACAGTCCTGTGGGGAGAGAAACTCGCTTGGCCCAGACCTGCCCCTCTCCGTGTGCCCCTCCAGTCGCTCCAAACCCACACAGCCTGATGTCACAAACAAGGCTCTGCGGAGACTCTTGGCTGCTGGTATCCCACACCAGGCTGTGCCAGAGGGCAGAACCCGCCACCCACACCCACCTGGTATTCCTCCAGCTGCTCATGAGTGAACACAGTCTGCTTGTTGCCCATGCTGGGGACCGCAGTCTTGAGTCTACTGGAACGGAAATTACAGGTGGCTCCTCAGGGGCACCCAGGCACACAGTGTCTGAGCAGATGCCCTGGCTGTCACCCGCCCACCCATCCCGTCACCCCAAGCTTAGTGAGGCTCAGGTTACAGCCTGGCTCTCTCTGGGCAACCGTTTGAATGTGTCCACAGGTGAGGAACAAGGGCCGTGGGAGGTCCCCGAGGAGCCAGGATCATCACCGCCTGGTGAGACTGGTAGTCTAGGACACCTTCAGGGAAAGGCCACACATACACCCCAGCTCAAACCCCAGCTTTCCCCCTGCTACCTGTGTGGCCTTGGATAACTGTCTGACTTCTCTGAACCTGGTTTGTGAAATGGAAACTACTTAGCATCTATATCATAGCATCAGTCTGAGGGGGAGAGACATCATGGTGGGTGTGGGTGTGGCTGTGGCTGAGGCAGGAAGGTCATGAGTTCAAGGTCAGCTTGAAGCTGCATAGTTAGATCTTATGAGAGAGAGAAGGAGGAAGAGGAGGAGGAGGAGGAGGAGCCAGGTCATGGGGGTGCATGCTTTTAATACCAACTCTTGGGAGGCAGAGGCAGTCAGATCTTTGTGAGTTTGAGGCCAGCATGGTCTACACAGAGTTCCAGGACAGCCAGGGCTACACAGAGAAACTGTCTCAGAAAAAAGAAAAGAAGAGGAGGAGGAGGAGCAGCAGGAGGAGGAGGTTGTAGGGAGGGAGGGAAGTAGACTCGGGAGATGGCTCAGCCAATAAAGGACCTTCTGTGCACATCAGTAACCTTGGTGGTGAGGGGTGGGCGGGGTGGGGTGTTAGGGTGGAAGAAGACAGGAGGATCCCTGGAGCTCACAGGCCAGCCAGCCCGGCCAATCAGCGAGCTCTGTGATTAGTGAGAGACCCTGTCTCAAAAAGGAAAGACGGTGAGTGATGATACACCCGCATTTACACGAGGAACAGGAGACGGAGGGGTAGTTGATTGCCTATTGGTGGTAAGCCCGTTCTAGGCCCTAGGAATGCAGGAATGAACGAAGCTAGGTGAAATGCGAGGTGATCACTGTAGTCCTTGTATTAAGTGCTGAGTTAGATGACAAAAGAGATCCAGAGCCTAAAGCTCAGAAACTGTGCTGTGCCGGTTACTGTTTGTCAATTTGATACAAGCCAGAGTCATCTGGGAAGAGGGAACCGCAACTGAGAAAATGCTGCCGTGTGCTTTTGACCCGATTTACAATGCCAAGCAGAAAGTGGTCGGTTGTACCTTAACAGCTGCGCCACCGTTACAGCAGGGCGCATCTGGCCCAGAAGGTCAGCAGCAGTGCAGCACACAGCATCCAAAGCTCAGTAAAACTGATGGGGCCTGCTCCCCCACACCACACCTACCGCTGGCATAGCGCAGTCTGGAATGGTGAGAGCTGGCCAGCAAGGAGGACGTTTCCGGTCAGTTCTAGCTTGATTTCTCTGCGTCCAGCAGCCGGAGAGTCTCTACAGCGATAGGGTCTGATGTTCTAATTCTGGTGTGGGTAACCAACAAGCCATTTCTAAGAGGCTGTTTGGGTGTGTTTTGTACTGAAATTGGGGGATGTGGTAAAGGTTAAATAGGTCATTTTTCTTTCCTCCCTTTGAGATTATAAAGTAGCAGGTTTCGGAGTGGGGTCCACACCCATCGCTCATTTTGGGTGGTCGTCCCCACCCCTTTGCTGTCCTCCTTGCCTTCCCTGGACAACTGGGAAACGCTGTCAGAAGCTATCTTTGTCACACTAGGGTGCAGAGGAGAGGTCGGACATTCCACCTGTAGTTGTAGACATTTCTTTCCACATGCAGCCTGCTCAGTGTTAGTGTTGTGTGGAGATCTGGGTGGGTCTTGCTCCTTCCTTCCTCCCGTCCTCCCCTCCTCTCCTCCTTCTCCCCCTCCTCCCCGTCTTCCTCCTGTCCCCCTCCTTCTCCTCTCCTTCCACCTCCCCCTTTTCCTCCTGTCTTCCCCCTCTACCCCGCCTCTCCCTCCTCTTCCTCCTCCTCCCTCTTTTCCTCCTGTCTCCCCTTCTCTCCCCCTCTTTCCCCTCTGCCTCCTCCTCTCCCTCTTCCTCCTGTCTTTCCCCTCTTCCCTGCCTCTCCCTCCTCTCCCTCCCCCTCTTCCTCCTGTCTCCCCTCCTCTTCCCCTTCCTCCCATCTCCTTCCTCTCCCCCTCCCCCTCCTCTCTTTCCCTTTGACTCGTCCTAGTCATTGCTCAGTCCCTACTTTAATGAGGCCACTGACAGAACCAACAATGCATCACTAAGCAGAGAGAGGCTGGATAACACCCGTGCCTCAGTTTCCCTATCTGTACAATGAGGATGTTCTACATAAAGGAATGTCTGTGAGCATGAAGGAGACCAATCTGAACAAACCTATTCAGAGCACCAGTTACTGCTGCTGTAATCTTGTCAGCATTGCTAGTTTATAAAGGAGGGGCCAGAGCTCAGACAAGCCAAGACACTGCCTCAGGGACACACAGCTTCAGGTGTTCAGGTAAGGATCTCCAAAGTCACTCACACTCACCTCTGAGGCCAAGCTGCTTGGCTGGGAAAGAGCAGGACTTCCTTCCTTCCTTCCTTCCTTCCTTTCTTTCTTTTTTTCTTCTTCCTTCCTTCCTTCCTTCCTTCCTTCCTCTCTCTCTCTCTCTCTCTCTCTCTCTCTCTCTCTCTCTCTCTCTCTCTCTCTTTCGAGAAAGAGAGTGAGTGTGTGTGTGTGTGTGTGTGTGTGTGTGTGTGTGTGTGTGTGTGTGAATGCCAGGGTCTGTTTTTGGAGGTCTACCTTGGTTTGTTTTCTCTAACTGTGGTAAATACCATGACCAAAAGCAACTTGGGGAGGAAAAGGCATATTTCATCTTACAGCTTATACTCCACCATGATGGGAAGTGATGGCAGGAACTCAAGACAGGAACCCGGGGGCAGAAACTGGAGCAGAGACTGTAGAGGAATGCAGCTTTCTGGCTCAGTCCTCATGGCTTGCTCAACCTGCTCTTGTCTCTTTAGATTTATTTTATCTTATGATATGCATGTATGTATGTGCAACATGTGTGTATGTGCCTGGTGTCCACAGGGGTCAGAAGAGGGCATCAGATTCCCTGAAACTAGAGCTACAGATGACTATGAGCCACCACGTGGGTGCTGGGAATTCAACCCCATCCTCTGCAAGAGCAACACATGCTCTTAACTGCTGAGCCATCTCTGCATTCCCTCAGCCTGCCTTCTTATAGCACCGATGACCATCTGCCCAGGGCTCATACCACCCACAGTTGGCTGGGCCCTCCCACATCAATAGTCCATCAAGGCACAACCCCACAGATTTCCTTACAGGCCAGTTTGACAGGTATTTCCTTTTCTTTTTCTTTCTTTCTTGTGGTGATACTTTATTTGTGATGAAATGTGATATTTTATTTGTATGTTAATAAGTAAAGTTGCCTGGAGATCAGAGGTCAAATAGCCATTAAGCAGAAGTCTGGCGGTGGTAGCACACACCCTTAATCCAATCACATGGCAGACAGAGTCTCTGTGTGGTTAATGACACAGCCAAGCGTGGTAACACCACCCTTTAATCCCAGTACCAACCATAGAGACCTGGAGGTCTGTATTGACAGGCAGTGATGAGGAAGTCATGTGGCTGGGCTTAGAGCCAATGAGAAGGCAGAACAGAAAGGCAATAAAAACACAAGTCAGACAGGAAGAAATTCTCTCTGGGGATGCTACTGCTGGTGGTAAGCTAAGGCTAGCTGTGGTTATTGCTCTGATCTCTTTGGCTGTTTCCTCTGTATTTGGCTATGTGTTTCTTATTTACTAAGACTATTTAGAATTTCGTCTACACTTTCTTTCTTTTTTGATTTTGTTTGTTTGTTTGTTTTGAGACAGGGTTTCTCTGTGTAACAGCTCTGGCTATTCTTGAACTCGCCCTGTAGCCCAGGCTGGCCTCGAACTCACAGAGATCCACTTGCCTATACCTCCTGAGTGCTGGGATTAAAGGCGTGCGCCACCACCTGGCTCAGGGGTATTTTCTTAATAGAGGTTCCCTCTTCCCAGACAATTCTGGCTGTGCCAAATTGACAAAAGATAACCAGCACCATGACAGAAGTCAACTTTTGGTAATCGGTTCTCCCTTTGCACCCTGTGGCTCCCAAGGATGCAACTCCAGTCATCAGGCTTAGTGGCAAGTGCTTTCTCTTGCTTAGCCGTCTTACAGACTCAGACATCTCTGTTAATTTGTGAGGTGCCCAGGTGCTGGCAGTCCTCAAGAACCACCCCCACAAGTTCATCCTGCCTTCCCCAGGTCCCAGTTAGCCTGGGACCTGGCATCAGGCAGTGGCCTGATGCCCCCTGCAGGTGACACTGGGAAAAACAGGTGCCTTTGCCTCCCTCCTGCAGATGTGTTCTGTTCCCCACCATGCAAACCTTCCTAGGTAAGGAAGATGAGTGTGGGGGTGCATGCCTGTCATGGCAGTAGTGGGGATACTGAGGCAGGGGGATTCCAGGTTCATGGCCAGCCTGGGATATGGATTAAGTACAGGTGCAACAACTTAGTGAGATGCTGTCTCAAAAACCAAGAAAAGGAGTAGGGCATGGTGGTGCCCGCCTCTAATCCCAGCACTCAGGAGTCAGGTGCTGGTGACTCTCTGTGAGTTCAAGGCCAGCCTGGTCTACTTAGAGAGTTTCAGAACAGCCAAGGCTACATAATGAGAACCTGTTTTATCAAAGACTACTGGGGTCCAGCCCCTTGATAGCCTTTTCCCAGGGTGTGTGGAAGAATCTAACAACCAGCTGAGGAATCTAATCTCTAGATACCAAATGAATCCACGTACACAAAACTCTTAGTCCATTCATTTTATTCTTCTGAGTCAGTTCTCTCTCTACACAGCTTCTTTTCTGCTCTCACACTTAGCTCCTTTCTTGCCTGATTCTCTCTTCATTTTTCTGCTGTTCTCTCTAAGTTCTATCTTAATACCTTGTCTTAGTTTTCC